TAATGAAGAAAGCTCAAGAATGGTCAGGTTTCTTTTGACTTAAGAAAGGAGTAACAGAAGCCCATATAAATCTAGCAACCATCTAATTGTCCTGAGAACCATAGCCCGATTGAGTTTCTAATATGTCTGTGTGAAACATACATGTAAAACATCTTATCTGTCCGCACAAAATCACTCGAAACATATGCTTCTTGAAAATAACAAAACAACTTCTATTCCATACTATTGCTGCTTCCAGTATTAATAATAACAAAATAACATCAGCAACAGCAAATGACCAATTCAGCCATCTTCAAGATAAGGGTTAAAATTTGACATGTTGACTGTATATAGTTTCATCAAGGACTCCGGGTAAAAAAATTAGAGACTTTCCACATTAAATATCATACTTTTTTAGCAATCAGATGACGCTTTCAATTAATTAAACAATATTGAAGCAAAAAAAGTTATATTTTCCAGGTTTCTGATTTTTTTTTGTTTTTTTTGTTTTGATAAAGTCTACTAAGCTGATTGGTTAGTAGCTAATTTTTTTAAACTAAGAAAATAAAAGTCTTTACAAATGAAAAAGGAATATGAACTTGCAAGGGGTAAAAATTCTAGAACCAAATTGATGTAAGGGGATACCAATTTGATTTTACAAAATGTCCGAATAACATAAAAGTGATCATCCGAAATGTACATTATGGTGATCGTTGATGGCGTCCTTTGTCGTTGCATGAATCCATATGTCTGATGCAAACTTGCTGCCTTGTCCATTCCAAAAATTGAATTGTAAATTGTCCATATGAGGCTGCCATAGAATTCTCGCACGTGGGATTACACTGAGTTTGTTATTGTTATAGGCTGCCATATAATAGCCATCTCCGCAACCCAGTATGTCCATATCTAGCCCATTCAACAAAGTAACAAATGAGTGCCCTTATCCACGTACAAAGATGAAACTTTACCTCCTTGTTGTGTTGCACAAAATATGTTCTGGTGGCCCTTATAATCTGACCACAATGTGGCCATATTTGCAAGCCAATATGTCCATGTTTGATGTTCAATGTTATATTTAAGAGAATTTTGTTCACAACATCCCCCTACATACAAGGATATTAAATACTACTGTTGAACTTACTCAAACTTAACATTCATGCAATGTAATATAAGAAGTTAAAAGGCAATTGAAATATTACAGTTGGATTCTCCAAGGTGTAGTGGACAAGATTGGAATTACTCTTTTAAAGTGATAAGAGAATAGGCTGCTCTTAAATTCCACCTAAGGTGCCCCTGCTTTAGATGGACTGCCATACTGGAGGCCTGCTTGATGGTAGGCTATAATTATGTATTTTGGCCACTATTTACATTCTAATTTGCTTCACTTTACTGATGTTTGAGCGTTAAATGCTAGTAAATTGTTCTGACCGAGTACTTTATGCTTTGCAGGAGCAATTCCGGGCTACAATGAGGTTAGGGAATGTTTTTTTAGCTAATATGGAGCGTTGAAGGCCAAGTAAAAGCTTATGGACTAAATTGGGAGTTCGTTCGAGGATCAAAGGAGGATAGCACACTTAAAAAGAAGAACGAAGAAGAGTGCAGAAAATTGCCCAGGTGCGCGGCCGCGTATGTACCGCACACTGGGCCACGCAAGTCAAGCAGAAACTGGCCAAAGTGCGCGGCCAGATGCGCGGTCACCTGCCCAGGTGCGCGGCCGTGCACGTCCTTCCGAGAAAAAATTTCCCAGGGCTAAAATTGTAATTCCGAGGGAGACTTTCCTTGACCTATATGAAGCCCAACTTGTCTAAAAAGAGGGTATCTTGGATTTTAGGAGAACTTTGGAGGGAGAAGAAGCACGGAAGCAACGGGAAAGCGAGATACTTGATCCAATTCACTCAATACGAAAGTTTGGTTGAATTTGGAAATTGTAATGTCTTCTTGTTCTTCTAATACTCTTGTTTTGAATACTTTCTTCGTTATAGAGTAATTCTCCTTAGGGTTGTTGACGGATGCTGTGAATTGATTATTGTTTTGGGTTTTACTCTATGTTAATTCCTCAACCTTACTGAATGAGTTATTAATTGAATTGCAAGATTTATTGTAGTTTTACTTTAATCGAAAGAGAACTTTGCTGCTATTTGCTTTGTACCATCTTAATTAGGTTGATTTTATGCCTCTTCTAGATAATCGAAAGAGCCTAAGTAGGTATCGATTTACCCAGTTCAGGAGAATAACCGAGAGGTGTTCTTTGAAAGATCATTCATTCACTAATTTAGTGCATATATTCATAGGAATTGTCATTAGGTTAGCTAAAGGAATCAAATTTATTCGGAAGGAAAATTGGAATCCCTGAAGTAACATGATCATCTATTGAACTCGAAAGAATCAATAGAAGGTAAGATTGAATTTAGCACAGAGTACCCAGAACAATAGTTGATCACATATCTTGTCATCGCCCTTGCCTCTCTCATTGATATTCCTTTGTTATTACTAATCATTCGGGTATCACCAGTTTCTTACAGCTGATAATCTTAGTTTATTTGTAGTCAATAATAACATAAATCAAAAGGTTTATTATCATGGATAGTGTTAAGCTGAAGAATTAGTAGAATATTATTGAAACCAATCCCTATGGAGACGATTTAATACTATACTATCTTTGACTAGCGAGCCTATGTTTTGTACACCGGTTTTGCGCTCGTCAAATTTTGGCGTCGTTACCGGGGATTGGCGATTAATAGTGTTTAAATTAGTTTTCAGTGCAAATTCAAGAATTATTTTATTTTATTTTCCTTTTTTACGCTCTTTTCATCTGTGTGCAGGCAACAGGTTAAGTTCAGCGGTGTATGACTCGATCCTCTTCAAACGACTTGGTACCATATGACCTAGAGTTAGACAAACACCTGAGGTAGTTGAAAAGAGAGAAAGGATCGAGTGGATTGTTGTTGGGTCAGCCTTCAACTCAGGATAAAATGGTGAACAATAAAGAGATAGTAGACCTATCTGCCAAAGAGGCGGCTCAGCGACAGGAAGCACGGTTACCGGCTAAAGCGGCCCGCAGAATTGCTAATGAAACAGTTGATGGGGATCAAAGACTCAATCCCAACCGAATTATCAAGCATGCATTTGAAAATACAGGTCCTATGCCTGGGAAATTACTGGAAAATTATGCTAGACCGGTGTACAACCAACAACAGTCTAGTGTGTGGCCCCCACCCATCGATGCCAACAATTTTGAGCTCAAACAGGGAGTCATCCAGACCATTCATAATAATTGCATTTTCAGCGGCAAACCCAATGAAGATCGCAACAACCATCTGATAGACTTTGATGAAATTATGAACACATTCCGCTTCAATGGAGCATCACATGATGCTATATACCTCAGAGCATTTCCGTTCTCACTGAAGGATGATGCAAAGCAGTGGCTGAGAAGTTTGCCTACAGGGTCAATCCGTACGTGGGAGGAAATGACCACCAAGTTTCTGGAAAAATATTTCTCGGCTGCTAAGACTGGAAGGATAAGGAAGGAGATTCACAATTTCAGCCAAGGCGAAGGAGAAATAGTGTTCGAAGCATGGGAAAGATTTAAGGAGCTGCTGTGGAGGTGCCCTCATAACGAAATAGTGCAATGGATGCAACTTCAGGACTTTGGGGATAGTTTAAACCCGTCATCAAGGAGATTGCTAAATAGTGCAGTTGCAGTCCCTCTAATGAAGAAAACTCCGGAAGAGATTGTTACTCTCTTGAATGAACTATCTGAAGATGCAGATCCATGGTCCACAGACCAAGGGGATCGAAGAAATTCAGCAGGGGTGCACCAAGTAGAATCGTCTGTAGCAATGCAGGCCCAAATTGCAGCAATGACTAAGGACATCAAGCAATTGACTATGGCTCAGGCACAAACTCAACCACAGGTGGGTTGTGACATTTGTGGGATGGGACACCCTACACACGAGTGTCAAGCTACAACTGAGGAGGTCAACGCTGTCGGAAATTTTAATAGAGGAAACTACCAAGGTGGGAACAACTTTAATGTTATGGGTCAAAAACATACAGGTTTTTCGTGAAGTTCACCTAATGGGAGCTTGAACTCATGGCAGCAAAATAATCTCAGACCACCAGATTTTCAGAACCAGCAGAGGCAACAATACCAACCACCACAGCCAAATCAGTCAAATATGGAAGATCACATGAAGGCATTCATTAACAAAATAGATAAAAAAATTCAAGATTCAGGGTACGGCTATTCGGAACTTAGAAAGACAAATGGGACAGATTGCAAAATTATTGTCTGAGAGGGCTCCTGCGACTCTCTCATCCGACACGGAAAAGAACCCGAAGGAAACAATAAAAGTTGTATCTCTGAGAAGCGGAAAAGTATTGACTGACCCAATAGTGAAGGCTAAATCAGAAGTGGTCAGCAAGCAGACTGAGACAACAGCAGAGGAAAAGAATGAAGAGCAAAAGAGCCAGAATAGCGGGGTACAAAAAGAAATTGAAGAAAGTAGACATATGCCAGCTCTACCGTTCCCTCAAAAGATGAAGCGAGAGAAACTTGACAAGTGTTTTGGGTGATTCTTGGAGATGCTCAAACAACTTTATGTGAACATCCCTTTCGCAGAGGTACTCACTCAGATGCCCGCTTATGCAAAGTTCCTGAAGGAAATCCTGTCTAGCAAGAGAAAATTAAAGGAGACAACAGTGGCCAAGCTCAATGCCCACTACAGTGCCATATTGCAAAACAAAATTCCCTAAAAGTGTGGGGACCCAGGAAGCTTCACCATACCATGCTCGTTGGGGAGTGAAAATTTTGACAAGGCCCTCTGTGATTCAGGTGCGTCTATAAATCTAATGCCTCTGTCTGTATTCATGAAACTGGAAGGTGAACTTGGAGTGATCAAATCAGTACCAGTGTCCCTATAACTGCTAACCAAACAACCATTCTACCTGAGGCAATCATTGAACATATTCTAGTATGGGTAGACAAGTTTGTGTTCCCCGTAGACTTTATTGTGGATATGGAGGTGAATAAGGAGGTGCCTTTAATTCTAGGGAGGCCATTTTTGTGTACAGGTAGAGCCATCCTTGATATTCATGAGGGGCAGCTTATGCTTAGAGTGGGTACTGAGAAAGTGGTATTCCAGATGAAGAGAATGATGAAATACCCCAGTGATGAGGTGTTTTCCTACTCATGTTTCAGGCTAGATGTCATTGGAGAGTTGGCTGAGAAGTATAAGTTTGACAAACTTGTGGGGGATACTCTAGAGAGGTGTATTACCGAGTCTAGCACAGTGGATGATGAAGATCCAGAAATAAAGAAAGAGGATGAAGCTCTTGAAACGGAGGATCAAGTGGTTGATGAGGAGGAACTAAAAAAGGAGGCTTCTAAGCCCAATGTGGAATTGAAAGTCCTCCCCACTCACTTGAAATATGCTTTTCTCGAAACTAACAATTTTTCTGTGATTATTTCTGTTGATTTGACAGGTACACAGGAGCAAAAATAGGTGGAGCTGCTGTCAAAGCACAAGAAGGCCAATGGTTGGAGCATAGCTGATATTCAAGGAATCAGTCCAGCCATATGCATGCACAAAATTCTGTTGGAAGAAAATAGCAAGCCTGTAGTGCAGCCTCAATGCAAGCTGAACAAAAAACTGGAGGAGGTAGTGCATAAGGAGATCATCAAATTGCTAGATGCTGGAATAATTTTTCCCATCTCTGATAGCCAGTGGACTAGTCCAGTACAAGTTGTACATAAAAAGGGGGGCATGACAATGGTGAAAATGAAGATAATGAATTGATCCCCACAAGAACAGTCACCGGATGGAGAATGTGCATTGATTATAGAAGGCTGAATGGTGCAACAAGGAAAGACCACTTTCCACTCCTTTTTATTGATCAAATGCTCGAGAAGGTGGCTGGACACGGATGCTACTGCTTCCTGGATGGGTATTCAGGCTACAATCAGATACCTATTACCCCAGAAGATGTTGAGAAGACCACATTCACTTGCCTATCAGGTATTTTTGCTTACAAGAGGATGTTGTTTGGGCTATGTAATGCACATGCCACTTTTCAAAGGTGCATGATGTCTATATTCTCTGATTAAAATGGGAAGTGTCTAGAGGTGTTCGTGGATTATTTCACCCTTTTTGGTGATGACTTTGAGGATTGTTTGATGAATTTGAAGCTCGTGCTTGAACATTGTGAAGCAACTCACTTGGTTCTTAACTGGGAGAAGTGTCACTTCATGGTAAAGGAGGGAATTGTCCTGGGCCACAAGGTAACTGCGCATGGAATTGAGGTTGACAAAGCTAAGGTGGATGTTATTGCTAGGCTCCCTCCCCCGACTTTGGTGAAGAGCATAAGAAGCTTCTTGGGACATGTTGGGTTCTATAGGAGGTTTATAAAAATAATTCCAGCATTACTAAGCCGTTGACACAATTACTAGCAAAGGATGCCAAGTTTATTTTCAATGTGGGGTGCTTAAGAGCATTCGAATTGATAAAGGAAAAGCTTGTGAGTGCTCCTATTATGGTGACACCTGAATGGAGCCAGCCATTTGAGATAATGTATGATGCGAGTGATGTAGCTATGGGAGCGGTTCTGGGGCAACAAAGAAATAAAATGTTTAGGCCCATCTACTATGTAAGCGGGACATTGAATGATGCTCTAGTCAATTATGCCAGTACTGAGAAGGAGTTTTTTGCTGTGGTCTTTGCTTTTGACAAGTTTAGATCATACCTGGTGGGAAGCAAGGTGATTGTACACACTGATCACTCAGTGTTGAAATACCTGTTGAGTAAGAAAGAATCCAAGCCGCGTCTGATGTGGTGGGTATTGTTTCTCCAAGAGTTTGACTAGGAAATAAAAGATAGGAAGGGCATAGAAAATCAAGTCACAGATCTTCTATCTCGGCTTGAGAAACCTCCAGTTGAAATAGTCGAAATAAGGGAAGAGTTCCCTGATGAGCAGATTGTTTCCATAGCAGCGGTCTCCGAAAGGCCGCCTTGGTATGCGGATGTAGCTAACTTTTTGGCTAGTGGATGGTTACCCCGTGACCTCACTCATGATCAAAGAAGGAAGCTTCAAGGTGAGGTAAAAAGTTACTTTTAGGATGACCCTTTCTTGTTTAAACTGTATGCAGATGGTGTGATTCGAAGATGTGTGCCTGAAGGAGAAATGGCAAGCATTCTATCACATTGCCATGATGGAGCAGCTGGAGGTCACTATGATGGAAATCACACTGCAGCAAAGGTCATGGAAGCCAGTTTCTTTTGGCCTACTCTGTACAAAGATGCAAGGGCGTATGTAGCTGCATGTGACAAGTGTCAGAGAGTAGGTAATATTAGCAAGAGGGATGAAATGTCGCTCAACTCCATTCTGGTATGTGAAATTTTTGACGTTTTAGGCATCGACTTCATGGGTCCGTTCCCAATGTCGCATTCTCATGAGTATATCCTAGTGGCCGTTGACTACATCTCTAAATGGGTCGAAGAAATTCCTACTAGGACCAATGATGCTCGGGTGGTGTGTGAGTTTTTGCGAAAAAATATCTTTACCTGTTTTGGGACACCTCGAGTGATTATCAGTGAGTAGTAGAGATTAAAAAAAACATAAAAGCTTAAAAATTTCGACTTTTCCCGACGATGTATATCATTCGACGGGTTTCTTGAGGGATTAAAATGGAAAGAAAAATGCAAAAATATTTTCTTGTGTAGTGAGTGTAATAATTCCCCTTTGGTTTTTCTTTGTGCCACGGTTCTTTTTTAAGGGTTTCGTTTGAACCGGGTGTAACTAGCTTTATTTTTTTGCTATGGTTTGAAATGAAAACAAGGTCTCTTGACTTCATTATTCCTTGAGAATAGTGAGTGCTCTAGTGTGACGCTTAGGATCAGCTTTTGACTCTTGTATAAGTGCCTTATGTTGTATGTTATTAACTTTGCTTAACTACTTTGACTAGAGTGTCTTGATGATCCAATCTTGAGTGAGTCATGTGCCATGTACATGTGAGGTTTGTTGTATTCTGTGCATTGCATTTGATATCTAGAACTTGCCCCATGTATTTGCAAAGCGAAATAGTAGTTTTGTTCAGTCTAGGAAGAGATATAGGTATTTCTTTGTTGAGCCAGTGATATTCTTTTACCACTTAATTATTATGTATCTTAGTTAACCCCTTTGAGCCTGTAATCCTATTTTGTTGGTAACTACATTACAAGCCTTACCCTTTTTGTTTGAATTGACCATCTATTTGAACCACTTACCTCCTTTGAGCATTTAAAATTGTTATAAACTTTGTAAAAGTTGAAGTGTGGGGTGGTTGGTTTGGCTTTTGAGTGGAACTAGTGAATTAAAGAGAAAGGTGCAATGTTCTGAAAAAAAGTAAGAGTCACTTGTATGAAAAAGAAAAAGACAAAAAAAAGAAAAAAAAAAAGAAAAGTTGTATTGTTGTGAAAATAGTGGTGACTCTCGATGCAAATGAGCTTAAATAGTTGGGAGTTAATGTATATTGATGTAAAGGTGGAGTTATAGTTTGACATAAGTATGGGGTTTCAACTTTTAAAGTGTATGTATTAAAGTGCTAAGGGAGATGTAGTCACTCTTATATCTAAATATATCCTACCCAGCCCGCAGCCTACGTTACAACCAGTTAAAAGTCCTACTTGATCCTTGACTGAATGAGCTCAATTAGTAGAGTAGTACACTACGGACAAGCCTATGGTGCATATTTTGTGGCACATGAATGTCGTTTCTCAGAGTAAGTAAATTCTTTCTATCATGAGTTCTTTATTGTTTTTGAATTTTATTGATTGTGGAACTATTCTCTTTTGTTATGGGAGGGCACTTGATTCATGAAGGAAAGGTAATTCTTGACCTCTATGTTAGAGTAAGTGAGTAAGTTGTGAATAATGCACGGTGCTTGTGAGTCAATTTTTGAGGTGAAGATATTACACTATTGTGCTTAGTCTATTTTAAATATTCTTGGTGGGATAAGTTAGGAAAGTCGCTTAGTGAGGTTGCGTCTATGTAAAGTGTAGTTTGATTGCTCGAGGACGAGTAATGGTTTAAGTGTGGGGTGTTGATGGTAGGCTATAAATATGTATTTTGGCCACTATTTGCACTCTAATTCGCTGCACTTTACTGATATTTGAGCGTTAAATGGTAGTAAATTGCTCTGAATGAGTACTTTATGCTTTGCAGGAGCAATTTCGGGCTACAATGAGGTTAGGGAGCATTTTTGAGCTAATATGGAGTGTTGAAGGCCAAGTAAAAGCTTATGGAGTAAATTGGGAGTTCGTTCGATGATCAAAGAAGGATAGCACACTTAAAAAGAAAAACGAAGAAGAGTGCAGAAAATTGCCCAGGTGAGCAGCAGCGTATGGACCGCGCACTGTGCCGCGCAAGTCAAGCAGAAACTAGCCAAAGTGTGCGGCCAGATACGTGGTCACCTGCCCAGGTGTGTGGCCGCGCACGTCCTTCTGAGAAAAAATTTCCCAGGGCTAAAATTGTTTTTTTTCAGGGGAGACTTTCCTTGACCTATATGAAGCCCAGCTCATCTAAAAAGAGGGTATCTTGGATTTTAGGAGAACTTTGGAGGGAGAAGAAGCACGAGGCAACGAGAAAGCGAGATACTTGATCCAGTTCACTCAATACGAAAGTTTGGTTGAATTTGGGAATTGTAATGTCTTCTTATTCTTCTAATACTCTTATTTTGAATACTTTCTTCGTTATGGAGTAATTCTTCTCAGGGTTGTTGACAGATGTTATGAATTAATTATTGTTTTGGGTTTTACTCTATGTTAATTGCTCAACCTTACTGAATGAGTTGTTAATTGAATTGCAAGGTTTATTGTAGTTTTACTTTAATCGAAAGAGAAGTTTGATGCTATTTGCTTTGCACCATTTTAATTGGGTTAATTTTACGCCTCTTCTAGGTAATCGAATGAGCTTAAACAGGTATCTATTTACCCAATTCAGGAGAATAACCGAGAGGTGTTCTTCGAAATATCATTCATTCACTAATTTAGTGCATATATTCATAGGAATTGTCATTAGGTTAGCTAAAGGAATCAAATTTATTCGAAAGAAGAATTGAAATCCCTGAAGTAGCCTGATCATCTATTGAACTAGAAAGAATCAACAGAAGTTAAGATTGAATTTAGCACAGAGTACCCAGAACAATAGTTGATCACATATCATGTCATCACCCTTGCCTCTCTCATTGATATTCCTTTGTTATTACTTATCATTCGGGTATCACCAGTTTCTTACAGCTGATAATCTTAGTTTATTTGTAGTCAATAATAACATAAATCAAAAGGTTTATTATCATGGATAGTGTTAAGCTGAAGAATTAATAGAATATTATTGAAATCAATCCCTGCGGAGACGATTTAATACTATACTATCTTTGACTAGCGAACCTACATTTTGTACACCAGTTTTGCGCTCGTCGCTGCTTGACTCAAGACAGCCTTTTAAAGTCATAAGAGAACCTAAAAGTGCCAGCCATCTCCTTCTCCATTGTAAAGTTGCAAGAGACATTTGGGATATGTTTTTGTGCATTATTAGGAGATAGTAGCGTATGTCCTTCAATGTTAAAGATGCTTATTCTAGCTGGGGACTATGGCGAATTGGAAAATCCATTCAAAAGAATCTGGCAAATGGTTCCGGTGAGTATTTTTCTGGTGCATTTGGTCAGAGAGGAACGATAGATGCTTCGATAAGATCTCAAATCCTAACCACTCCTTAAAAGCTAGATATCTTTCATATTTATTTTTTTTTGCCGGTGTAACTTACAGTATGTACATATATTGACCAACCGATAGATTATGTTAGCTCCTTAAATATTATCTAGCAAATATCTTGTACTGGAGCTATTTCATTTTTACTTTGCATCCTCCGGAGGCTGTTTTAATGGAATTCCTTTTACTTCATCAGAAAAGAGATTAGGATGCTCTTAACAATAAGATTTAAAAATAAAAAAGAGAGATTAGACTGCTCTTCCTCGAGAGATGATACGTCTGACATTAACCGACAAGGATAAAGTTTCCTGATCATATTCTTTGAACAAAGAGGTTTCTTGAGAACCAAACCAAATTGCTCAACCCAACTCCTCTCAGAAAGGAAATATTATTCATAGAGAAAAAGAAATAGTAAATGAATCTGAAAATTGCAACTCGTAGTACTTCTCATGAAATTTCTAAATACCTATATTATATAATTTAAACTAATTAATCTAGTCTTAATTTGTTCAAATATTCTATCAAACTGACACTTACAATGGAGAGTGTCAACAAATTAGGATGGGCATAACTAACCTAAGAGCCAAACACATTTCCATTCAATGATGATTAAAGCAAGCACCAATATAATGATGATTTATAGCGAGTGAAGAATATCTTACATGCTCGGATTGCCATATTTTAACTCCACACAAAGAGAATAGTGTTGCAGGTGCTTTAAGGTAGTTGTATACGGTCAAAACCGGACTAGTCCCTTGCTTGACTAATCGAAACTGGAATATGATAGATTAAGGTCCGACCTCGAGTCATATCGAACTGGGGTGTGAAATTATATTGTCAAGCTCGAGACCCCGGGACCGAACAAAATCGAGATAAGGCGAGATTGAGGGAAACTTGCTGAGTCAGATAACAGAAAGGCGAAATATCCGCGATCGAGCATAGATCACGGCGGAGATCTCGACATGTATCAAAGATAGGCCGATTAATTAAACAATCAGGAAATTTCCTACTTTATTTAGAATTATATCAAGAGTAAGACTCCCCTACTATATAAAGGGGGTATGATCATTTGTAAACAGAGGACTTTTACGCAACATAAAGCAATACATTGTCTTTTTCTATCTTTCATTATTGTGTAAGTTAAAAGCAATACTCTGTTCTTATATCAAGTTGAAACTTCTCTTGGTTCAAAGGTGGTCTAACTCGAGGGCCAAGGCTATTTGATTCGTTTGGTTTGCATTTATTTCTTGTAACGTCAAATTCAATATTAATATATTCTCTTAATTTGTGCCAAGTTATATCACGTATCTTTAAAATCGCGTATAAATTTAATTGTTATCCGTTTTTAAGGTAAACAGTTTGGCGCCCACCGTGGGCTAAGGATAATAGTGATTGCCCGGTACTAACTTTCGTAACACACACTATTTTTTACTTGTTCTTGTGAGTATCTTTGATTCCAGGATCAAAATGTTGAACTCTCAGGCAACACCCGTACACATGGACAATGACTTCAACCACCATGACGAAAATGACAACATAGCACCAGGGAATGACGTACCTCCAGTTGGCCTCGATGGAGTTCCAGCTGTAGACCCAATCAACGCCAGCTCGCATGTAGCCATCAATGCAAATTTGGTCATCGATCTCGAGAGTAGCTTCCGTAGGGATGTTCGATCACCCGCTCAGAGCACACATCGCGGCAAAGAGGGCGGAATCAAACTTCGAGTGATTTTCGAGATGCTGCAGGCTCAACAAGCTGCGATAGCCCAGCTCCAAAACTAGAATCATGCACCAAGCAGGATCGACCCTGAGCCGTCCCAAGAAGTTGTTCACAGGATCGAATCGGTGTCATGAAAATCGAATGGTAATGAATCAAGGACCGATCCCGCAATCATAAAGATGCTCGAAGAACTAACGAAATGAGTTGAGTCGGGGGAAAAGAAGATCAAATCAAACGACAAGAAGGTGGAAACTTATAACTCCATAGTTGATCAAATCCCGGGGGCACCACCAATATTGAAGGGTTTAGATTCCAAAACGTTCGTACAAAAGCCCTTCCCCCAGAGCGCGGCTCCCAAACCGATCCCCAAGAAGTTCTGCATGCCCGAGATTCCTAAATACAATGGAACGACCGACCCAAACGAGCATGTCACCTTTTACTCATGTGCAATTAAAGGGAATGATCTAGAGGGCGACGAGATCGAATCTGTGTTACTAAAGAAATTCGGGGAGACATTGTCAAAGAGAGCTATGATATGGTACCACAATTTACCACCTAACTCTATTGATTCTTTTGCTATGCTTGCAGATTCTTTTATAAAGGCACACTTCGGAGCCATAAAGGTCGAGACTAGGAAGTCGGACCTTTTTAAGGTAAGACAAAAAGATAATGAGATGCTCAGAGTGTTTGTGTCTCGGTTCCAAATGGAACGAATGGATCTACCACCGGTCGCCGATGATTAGGCCGTTCAAGCTTTCACTCAAGGACTCAATGTACGAAGCTCAATGGCTTCACAACAGCTGAAGCAGAACTTGATTGAATACCCGGTTGTTACCTGGGCCGATGTACATAATCGGTATCAATTAAAGATTAGAGTCGAAGAAGACCAGCTGGGAGCTCCTTTCGGGTCCGTTTATCCTATCAGGCCCATTGACAGAATCAAGAGGAACATTGATCGAGAACCAAGGTTGAACAGGGATCGATACCAGCCATATAATGGAGATCGTAGGAATAACGGATCTGGGCAAAACCCTGTACGAAGTGAAAAGAGAAATGACCGAGGTCAGAGCTCTCGAGGGCTCATGAGCAAGAATGGCTTCGACAGGCATACCGGACCTAAAGAAGCACCACGATTGTCATAATATAACTTCAATGTTGATGCAGCTGCCATCGTATCTGCTATCGGACGCATCAAAGATACTAAATGGCCTCGACCTTTGCAGACTGATCCAGCCCAGAGAAATCCCAATCAAATGTATAAATATTATGGCACCCATGGCCACAAAATGGAAGATTGTAGACAGTTAAGAGAAGAAGTAGCCCGGTTATTCAATGACGGGCACCTTCGGGAGTTTCTGAGTGATCGAGCTAAGAATCATTTCAGAGACAGAGATTCTAACAAACAAAACGAACAAGAAGAACCTAAACACGTCATTCACATAATTGTCGGAGGGGTCGATATTCCTCAAGGGCCAGTGTTAAAACGCACCAAGGTGTCGATCATAAGGGAGAAACGAACTCAGGATTACGTACCAGAAGGAACCTTGTCCTTCAACGGCAAGGACACGAAAGGAATCATGCAACCCCATAACGATGCACTGGTAATATCTATACTCATAAATAAGACTCGAGTTAAACGTATGTTAATTGATCTAGGTAGTTCGGCCAACATCGTTTGATCAAGGGTCATAGAACAGCTCGGCCTACAGGACCAAGTTGTGCCCGCAGCCCGAGTGCTAAACGGATTCAACACGGCTTGTGAGACTACTAAGGGCGAAATAACTTTGCCAGTGAACATGGACGGACCATCCAGGAGACCAAGTTCCATGTGATCGAAGGTGATATGAGGTATAACGCCCTATTCGGGAGACCATGGATCCACAACATAAGGGCAGTGCCCTCGACCCTTCACCGGGTTCTAAAATTCCCGACACCAGAGGGAATCAAAACAATTTACGGGGAGTAACCCGCCGCAAAGGAATTGTTTGCCGTTGACGAAGTGATTCCTGTATCGGCAATCTCATCGATGAAGGGGTCAAATTTGAAGGGAAAATAGGAGGCCAAATAGCAATCACAGACGCCGGCCTCGACCCAACTAGAGAAGCAGGGGACTGACGAAGATAATGATTATGGGGTCCCTCGATCCTTCATAGTCCCCGATGACTCCGACGCTACCAAATCAACGGTCGAAGAGCTGGAGCAAGTCATACTAATCGAACATCTGCCGGAACGAAAGGTATACCTGAGCACGAGGTTAACTCCCGAGCTCAGGAAAAAACTTATTCAATTTCTTATAGCTAACATGGATTGTTTTGCTTGGTCCCCTCTCGACATGACAGGGATCGCACCGAAAATCACCACCCATAAACTAAGCTTGGACCTGAAGTTCTATCAGGTGAAGCAGAAAAGGAGACCCCAGTCCGAGATCAAGCATGCCTTCATCAAGATGAGGTAACCAAGCTTCTTAAAATAGGGTCCATCTGGGAAGTAAAATACCCTGAATAGTTAGTAAACATAGTAGTAGTCCCTAAGAAAGGGAACAAACTTAGGATGTGTGTAGATTACAAAGATTTAAATAAAGCATGCCCCAAGGATTCTTTTCCCTTGCCTAATATCGATCGCATGATCGATGTCACGGCCGGCCATGAGATTCTCAACTTTCTCGATTGCAAATTCCGGGTACAACCAAATAGAAATAAACCCGGATGATCAGGAAAAGACTTCGTTCATCACTAAATATGGTACCTACTACTATAACGTAATGCCATTTGGATTAAAAAATGCTGGTGCCACTTATCAACGCCTAGTAAACCGGATGTTCGAAGAACAAATAGGAAAATCTATGGAAGTTTATATTGATGATATGTTAGTTAAGTCCCTGCGAGCAGAGAACCATTTGAAACATTTGCAGGAAACCTTCAGTATATTGAGAAAATACAACATGAAGTTGAACCCGAAAAAATACGCATTCGGGGTCGGGTCGGGCAAATTTCTCGGATTCATGGTATCCAATCGAGGAATCGAGATCAACCCTGACAAGATCAAAGCTATCGAGGATATCACGGTAGTAGATAACGTAAAGGTCGTACAGAGGTTAACCGGGCACATAGCCGCCCTGAGGCGATTCATCTCGAGGTCCTCAGATAAGAGGCATCGATTTTTCTCGTTGCGAAAGAAGAAAAATAACTTCACATGGAATCCGGAATGCCAGCAAGCCTTGGAAGAACTTAAACGATACTTATTGAGCCCGCCGCTACTTCACACGCTGAGGGCAGACGAACAGTTGTACTTATATTTGGCAGTATCGAAGATAGAGGTAAGTGGAGTCCTAGTCCGGGAAGAACAAGGTACGCAATTTCCGATTTATTATGTTAGCCGGACCTTGGGCGAGGCCAAAACTAGATATCCCCACCTAGAAAAATTGACGCTCGCTTTGATAAGCGCCTCTAGGAAACTAAAATCGTACTTTCAATGTCGCCCCATATGTGTTGTAATAACTTATCCATTGCGAAATATTATACACAAACCCGAGCTTTCGGGATGGTTTGTGACATTTCGCGTTTTCATACGTTAAAGTTTTGTCGTAAGTTAATCGACATAAGTTCGGAAAGGAAATTATTTTGAAATTACAAGTATTATGCTATTTCAATCAAGGGATAAGTAAATTCGTGAAGGTGAGAGGATAAGTGAATCGAAGAAAATAAGTTTCTTCAAAGTTTGACAATTTGGGATAAAATACGGTCCGAGCTATAATATCCGATATTTATGGACTAGTACCATACTAGGTACTATATGACCATGATATTATGATGTCTAAAGTGTATTAAAAATGAGTAATATTTTAAGTAATTTAAGATAATTTTTAATTATGTGAGTAATTGATTAAATAATGAATTAGTGAGGAATAAATAAATTGATTAAGGAGTTGTGGATAATTGTAGGTGGGGACAAATTCCCCCACGTGGCAGCAAGTAGAGTAAGAGTTAAGTGACTCTTGCCTTTGGACAATGTAATTAGTAGGCACTTGGACAACATTCCTTAGCCATTTTACACGTAAGAAGTGGAATATATTAGTCATCTCTAACTCATCTTCAATAGAGATCAAATCCACTTTGGCAAAGATTAGACAATACTACAAAGGCATAGAATTTAAGCTATAAAAATACACAAGGCCGTGCATGGTGTAATTGTTCAATATACAAGGTACATATGGCTACTAAAATCTGAAAATCAAGAAGTGGCTGTGGAATTTCTATATGAGTTATAAAAGATATAAGCACTCCAGCTTCCCCTCCCAAATTATTTTCATTAGGAAAATATAATATAGCATGCAGAAAAACAAAACAAGGAACGAAGGTGAGGGAGTTTTGAAATTCATACGAAATTGCACTGCGTAATAACAACGGGATGTTGCAATTCTAAGGGAGTACGGTGCAATCCTTCTCAAGAATATTATATGAATTTTTCCCTACTCCAGGTATGTTAAGGCTTAACCCTTCCTTCATTTTGGCATGATCCCGTAATACTAAAAATCTGGAAAATTATGTCGAATTGTAATAATGCAGAAATTGTTTATGCAGCGAAAAATAATGAGGGAACAATAATATGTGGATTATTATGTAAGGATTTCCTAATTGAAGGTGTTGAGATACCTTTATTACTAACACACTAATACTTTTACGATTTCGGCATAAGTTATACCAAAGTGTAAAATAATCCTGGTTTAGTCAACGAGCATAAGCTTACAAACACCATATGTCATTACTTAAGAAAATGAATGATTAAATAATAAGAAAATCCATTACATGAGTTGATGACGAGACATAAGGAGAAATTCATATTCCGAAATTTATGTACATTTTTCTAGTTTCATAAGTTACAGTATTCTCCCTTATCGGGACTTCATATTCAATTGAGTATTGTCTTGTTCTAGTCAAGAGAGCCGAGAGCCTATATATGCAGTATTACAGTATTTTTNTCGTGGCTGACTTCACGCCGACCCTAGTACCCGAGGTCGAAAGAGAGTTGTTAGTGAACTCGGGGTACATTCTCGGGAATTTGG